TGTTTTCAGCCTAGGCAGCAAACACAAGGAGATTTCGGTCCTAGCATGGTCCAAGAATGAGTTTTCGGCCTTAATGGGCCTTAAACAAGGTGATTTCGGTCATGGTGTACTTCCATGAAGATGATTTCGGTCTTAACTTCATCCATGGAAGGGATTTCGGTTCTAGTCATGAGGTCTTGGTCCTCCACAAAACCAAAAACCCCTTTGATTTAGATTCCTAAAACCGAAATCACTATGGTGAGGTGTAATTCATGATTTTTGATTTACTTCTTTAACTTGTGTTGACTTGTATTAACTTATTTCAACATGGTTTTCAATATATACATATGTATAACTTATATAAGCATGGTTTTCAATTTATATATATATATATATATATATATATATATATATATATATATATATATATAAACATGTATAAACATGCCCTCATGGCTAATGGTGATTTAATGTAACAATATTACAATGTGGTTTTCATTTATACATGGTACATCTTTTGACTTGGTTCGGCTCTAAGTTTGCCAGTTGTCACAAAATATCCAATTAATATTTGGGTCTCAACCCATAATCAAGAATCTAAGTTACTTGCCCAAAGTTCAAGGTAAACGACCCTTTTACCCTCTTTCTTACTTGGCCCAAATCTAAGGCCCAACCCATTAACACCAAAAAGCCCAATAGTGGCCCATCTTCCTAAATGGGCCCAAAACCCATCATGGGACTAATCCAAAAAGGCCCAAATCCCTGAATGACACCCAGGGCTCCAAATAGACCCACACACGGTAAGGCCCAAGGTCAGAAACTAGTGGGCCATTAAGGCCCAAAAGCCCTAAACAATGCCTCACGTCATGACCAATCTTTGATCACGTCGTGAGACGTGTCCGATCTGAATTCGTGACTCACTCCTAACTCAGACGAATCACCGGGGACGGTGACTCATGCTCACGTCGTGAGAACGGTCCATAAAAATGCTTGCTTTATGTACATGTAACCCTTAATTTCACCCCTCTAGAAGCTAAAGGGGACCCTAATGGTCCATAAAAATGCTTGCTTTATGTACATGCATGTCCCTTCCCTATTTAAGGCTAAAATGTGCATATATGGCCTCAAGTCCCCATGCAAGCTCTAATACTCCACCAAATCCCAGATCTGAAAGATATAGGACTTAAGAGACCACTTGAATCCATAAAGTTGCTAACTTTATGGATTTACTCCACTCTCACCAAGCCAAAATATATGAAAATGGGCCAAAAGCCTAGATCTAGCCATGAAATGCAATAAAGCTTGAGTCTTGATACTTACAGTGGTCCAAACAACATGAGAGTTGATGATGATGATGATCCCAAGCAACTTCCTTCCCAATATACTTCTTCTTCTCTCGTTTTCCTTCCTTTCCACAAGGAAAATACTGAATAACTCAAGGTGACACGAAAACTAGATTTTCCAGAGGCTTAGAGGTTGAGAGAGGCTGAGGATGGGTAACACTAGCCTCTCATTCCCTTAAATACCCGAAAATTAGGGTTTGGGATTATTAAGCCACGCTCACGTTGTGAGACCTTATGCCTCACGTCGTGAGACTCCAAAATGTGTGTCAATGGGTCAATGGTCACTCACGATGTGACCCCCAAGATCTCACATCGCGAGGACCCTCATAATTCAAAAATGAATGAATTTAGTACCTTAGGGTTCCGGATGTTACAGTTCTTTTGTCTTGGAAGTGCAAATTCTTTTAGCATCTTCCTTAATTCTTTTTGTCTTGGTAGTGCAAATTAGTTTTAGGATGAAACAATCATAAAAATCTCATTGTCTGATATGGATGTAGATGAAATTGAAGACAAAGGCATTTTCTTTTTGGAGAAAACTAAGACACCAACATTATTTGACCGATTTGTGAATTAGGTTACTAATATAAGTGAAAGATAAGTCACATATGAGAACACTTCGTTAATGATTGTCTAATGGAGGATGTCGTGAGCAAAATCTGAAGAAACTGGTCATAAGGACTAAATGTGTACAAAAACATTAAGGGTTAAAGGTGTACAAACTAAAAAATATATTACCCTATTAAGTCATTTTTCCGGTTTAACCTAGAATAGCCGGTTATTAGGACTGATATGTGTATATCTACATATATATTTTACACCATATCTTAATATTTTATATTATATTTATGCTTATTATAAAACAAAAGGTACTTATTATGTTTAATATATTTTATGTAGCGTAAAAGACATGCTCAGAAGCAATATGGAAAGCTGGAAGCAGGAAAATGCGAGCTTAGACAAGAAGAAGACACAAGAAGGATGTTGTTGGACAGCTTGGCCACTCGTCAGTATTTTGATCATATCTCATAACTCGTAACTCCGATAGATGTGATTAAAAATGATCTGAAAACTAGACACAATTTCGAACAACTTTCATGTTTTGAGAAAATGCTGATTCTCCTTCGCGATTCTTGGCGCTGACTTGGAGAATACAGAATATACTCGAAGACCACGACGTGGTGGCCAGATTTTAGGCAAGTATATATATATATATATATATATATATATATATATATATATATATATATATATATATATATATATATATATATATATATATATATATATATATATTGATGGGTTTTGAGCACTACATCAATCCTATGGTGTACATGCAAACCCTAAAGCTTTGGATCTAGTTTGTCTAATATACATGCAATAATCATCCAAAGCTCATAAACCCTAGATCTAGCATATGATAAACGATATTAACATAAGAATAGGGCTTAGATCTTACTTTGATTATTATATAGCAATAACAATCTCAAAACCTTCTTGATCTTGAATTCTGAAAGCTTAGTGCCTCAAATGTTGCACCTCTAATGGAGTCACAAACACCACTAGCAATAAGGATGAAGAAGAAGGAGAAGGAGGAGGCACAAAAACGTTCTAGGGTTCTCTCAAAGAGTTGGACACGTTTTTGGAGGCCTAAGGGTTCCTTTTATACTTAGGCTATTAGGGTTTTCAACCAGGAAACCCTAATCTGACTGCTTAGGCCCTAAGCAGCCCATGGACTCCCTCCTTAGACGCCTTGGACGAATTCTAATGGGTTTCCCCATAGATTTCGTCCACTCCAACTTCTATGGAGTCCATTAGCCCAATATTCAACTATCACACAATTGACAGTTCTAGTCCCCTTTATTTAATTAATGTCTTTTAGCCACAGAATTAATTCTTGACTAATATTAATTAAACAATATGATTTCTCTATTAATATATTATTCATATAATATATTAATAAATCATAATTAATCATTTTTCTCCTTAATTCATCTTATCAGTTGCTATGGTGAAGGCAACCCAAAAGGACCATGCTCACAATCGGGTCAAGTACATACCAAAATAGTTATGGGCTTAGACACCTAATCCAACACATATATATATATATATATATATATATATATATATATATATATATATATATATATCCGAACAATATGACAAATTAGGGGACTTGGAGGTGACTTTCTGGAGAAGTATTACGACAAAAACCCTCTGGAAAACCCTTAGAAGAGGAGGAAATGATTGGAGCTCAAGAGTTGAAGAGATCTAGAAGAAAGCATCATCAATTCATTCGGTTTGATCATGTTTAGCTTTATTCCTATTGAGTTTTTGTGTTTGATTACTGCCATGAGTAGCTAATTTAGTAGACTTTCATTTAGTTAGATGAAACCCTAATAACTATGATTTAGTTTATTAGTTTATGGATTTATAAAAGTTGGTTTGGAGCTTGTGTTTGATTAACTTACCTAGCATGTTAAAGTGTTTCTCTTTGTTGCTTTAATTCAAGTTAAGTGTAGCTTAGTGACCATTAAATTACATGAACTTGTTTACCTAGTGATTTAGTGACCATTAAATTGTTAGAGCTAGGATTGACCACATCTTAGTTAAGTGATAAAAGTAACAATTTAGTTGTGTTGGAGAACATAGTTGTGACCATAATTGTGTTTAACAAATCTTACATAGCCCAATTATAATTAATAACTAATTATGTGTTTGCTTGTGTAGGACCTTACAAAGTAGTACATGAATTGATGAAATATTAGTAGATTGGACCAGATCGCTAATTACATAATAATTTGTAACCAACTTAATTAATCCATAAATAATAACTAAGCATAGGAAAAAGGTGGATTCGAAACTAAACGAAAGTGTTTTAGATATATATATAACAACCATATTAGTTGAGTGATTAAGTTTGTCTGAACTTGAAAAATCATATAAAAAACCCTCATTTTAGTTGTTTTTCTTAGTTTAGCTTTTAATAGTTATTTTATTAATTAAATATTATTCCCTGTGATCGACATCCGACTTACCTAAACTATTCTATATTCGACTAGGTACACTGTCTAGGTGCATTCTAGTTAGTTAAGTTCGTTAGGTTATAAATTTAAAACTAGATAGATATAATCTGCACCACATCAAGGACTGAATGTTGCCAAAAAAAAAAAGTTAAATGGTCAGATATAGACAAAAAAAAACTTAAAAATAAAATGTACACAAATCAAAAAATATATTACTCTTAAAAAGTTATCCCTACTTTAAACAATAAAAAATCGAATGTCAAAATACACATATACTTTTAAAGTCTTTAACCTGGAAGGTGGCGCTTACTAGAGACTCTGCCTCTAGTTCTCTAACCTCGCTAAAACCATTCCCATTAAACTCGCCAGAAGCATCACTAAGATAGACTTGCTAGTTGTACGAGATGAAAGAGAAAGAGAAAAGAGGAGAAGAGGGCTGTAATTGGATGATTTTTCTTTTTTCAAAATAAAATCTATTAAAAGTAGTACATCATTTGGAGCTCTTTACCTTTTACAACTTGGATGCTACCGTTATACGGTTAAAAAAATCCCTCCCCTTCAGCCTAACCAACGAATCCAAAAGTAACTGAATTCGGATTTTTCCCGATCCCCAAAAGATTCGGAAGTCGTATGAATCCTTTCCAACCGCACATTCTACACGACCAATATATGCACACAAATGGAATCAACACCCTCCTTTCTCAAAGCCAAACATGGCGGGTGTAGGTGTGGGTATGGGTATGGTTGGCTCCAGAGTTATAGCAATCCATCATCGTCATCATAGAACCCTAATTCCTACCCCCCAATTCAACCTTCAATTCAATCTCCCTTCTATCCATTCCCATCGATCCTCCATTATGTCTGCAACTGCCGCCACTCCCAGCACCGCCGTCAACAACCCAATTCTCCAACAAAACACCGCATCCACCGACTCAACCTCCGGTAATTAACCCCCTTCTCTCCTCTTTCTTATCTACTTTGTTTCGCACCTTGGAATACGTATCAAGATCATGTTTTTTTCTTCTGATCGCATCAAGATTGTGACTTTTTAGATTAATTTTCTCACTGGCACTTTATTCACACCAATAATTCAAGTTCGACTTTTTAATAGGTCAAAATTTTTACCTTTTACTTTTCAAATTCAAAATCAATGCGAATTCTTGATATTATCTGATGATGGTATCTGAAAAGGGTGCTGGCCGGAATTTGCTAGTAACATCTCCGGCGAATGGGACGGACATGGAGCTGATTTCACCATTGATGGCCACCCAATTGAGCTTCCAGAAAACGTAGTACCAGATGCTTACAGAGAATGGGAAGTCAAAGTTTTTGATTGGCAAACACAATGCCCAACTCTCGCTCAACCTGAAAACCCTTCCGCCATTTACAAACTCATAAAACTCCTTCCAACAGTTGGTTGTGAAGCCGATGCTGCCACACGGTTTACTGTTGATGAAAGAACAATCGGAGGTCCCACTAACATGGTGTCCGCATTTGCATACCAATCAAGTGGGTCCTACACTGCTCTTTGGTCAACTCAAAAAGCAGGAGTCTTGGAATTGGAACACTGTTTGATTGATCCTCGTGATAAAGAATCTCGTGTAAGGATTGTTCAAGTTTTGGGTGTTGAAGAAAAGAGTAAATTGGTGTTGAAGAACATTAAAGTTTTTGTTGAGCAATGGTATGGCCCTTTTAGAAATGGAGACCAATTAGGTGGATGTGCAATTCGTGATTCGGCTTTTGCTACAACAAAAGCTCTTGATATTTCACAAGTTTTAGGTGTGTGGCAATGTGCAAACTCTATAGCATACTTCCAAGATTCTCCCAATGTGAGTTTATCGCTTCTTTTTACACTTCAATACGATAATCTTTTGAGGTTAATTACTAAAATGCCCAAAAGGGTATCATAAAGTGTACTATATAAATCGTTAATTTGTTTTCATTATCATGATTCATGACAGAGTGTTCTTCAAGAACTTATACCAGTTGATGGTGTAGAAAAATCGGTAAGAGACAAAGGGCATCTTGTATTACTCCCAAAGAACTTGTGGAGTTCAATAAAAGAAACAGAAGATGGAGAAAAAACTTGGTGTGAGGTGGGATGGTTGTTGGAATCAGGGCGTGCTATTACATCTAAATGTATCTTTTCAAGAAATGGAGAGTTAAAAGTATGTAATTTGCTTCATATTTTGTTGTTTACAGTTTACTATATATTTGCAATATTTATTCATGTGGATTCTTTTGCAGGAGATCATAACTTCATCCGAGACTACAGAAGTAGGAGTCTAGGAGTATGATGGTTTCAAGATTTCTTACAATAAGTAGATAGAATAAAATGATATCCAATATTTTATTTAAGAAGTCTTTTTATACATAAATATTATCGAACAAACATATGAATGAGATGTGTAACGGATATTTCTTGTAACAGATATTTTCTTGCAACTGTACATGTCATGTTTGCAACATTATAGACGGTATATTTTTATATTTTTTTTAACTAAGTGGCAGTTTGATAGTTGTCGATTGAGGTGTTGTTTGTTTTTTCGAAGCTAAAATGTATGTAGTCTACAGACCGCATCTGCAACCCTCTGCGGCAGAAGAGGTGGGTCAAACGTCTGCAAACTGCAATAAGAAGTATGTTTGTGTTTTTAACGTCTGCAGCTTGCTGAAATAACCTGAAATTCACCATACAATAGTTAAAAATAATTCTAAATCAAAACTTTATTTAGTTTTAATTATATGCAAATCAAATATACGGATCATTGTGATGATATGATTTTTAAAGACGAACATAATAATTGCTAAATAACAATAAATAAAATTGTTAATTTAACGAACAAAGAATTCGTTTTGTTAATCTTTCCAATATGATGGTTATTGTTTCGGTTAACTTCAATAGATTTGGTAATTTTAGTGATTACCTTAATAATTTATTATTATTTGGTTATCAACTGGTTTTGAAATTATGTAAAGTACACTTATATTATTTATAATATCTTTCATAATATTATTAAAATAATAAACATGTGGAAAAATTCAAACAAAACTACGTTGAATAATATAACTTAAAATAACGTGAGAAGCGGTATGAAGATGAGGGTCCAGCGTCGCGCAGCACAAACACAATAGTTTTTAAGTTATAAATCTTTTAAAAAACAAAAAATTGTAAAAGACCAAGTGTTCTGTCTTTTAAAAAACAAACAAATGTGAAAGACCAAGTAACCAAATCAAAGACTTCAAATTATGGTATCAATCAATCTGATCGAATCAAACTATGAATGGATCTTGATGAGCATTTTGATTTTGGTTTCTTGTGTCATAACTCACATGTCACAGGTTATCATCAAGTGAAAAACACATGAAAAAGCATAGGCACAAAGTTTAGTAGATTTTGTTTCCTATCAAAATTAAAAACAATAAAAGTGTCGTCGCACAAGAATTTGAACAATAATAACAACAAACAAGAAACTGTGCACTCATTAAGTTCTTACATATCTTCTCAAGTAATACAACAAACATAAAACAAATAATAATGCTCAAACATTAAACATCCACTGCCACCCAACTCCTCCTCCCTCATGGTGGTGGTGGCGGCGGCACAACCACTTAAGTCATAGCCTTGAAGCCTCCATTGCCAGCTGTACAATCTACAATATCACCACCTTTGCAGACATACTTAAATTAGAGAGCCCCTGGTGCATCTCTCATGCTCATATTCAAACTGTTGCGCATTGTTCTTCTTCCAACTCCTGCATTTCCTTTTGTCATCATTGCAACAAATTCCCCATAATCAATCCTTCCATCCTGTAATATCACAACATAATCTCATCATTCTTTATTTCAAATTCCCCAAAAACCAATAAAAAATAATACTTTACTCTTTTCACCAATATATAGACAATAGGAGAGCTTTTTATTGGAGCTTTTTTCATGAAAAAGCTTCAAATGAAAAAGGTCATTGTATCTCCACTATAGAAGAGCTTTTTCAATTAGCTTTTTATCGATTGTTTTTATAAGTTGTTAATTTATAATTGGTTAAGAAAAAGCTCATGGGAAGAGCTTGTTAATTAACAAGCAACTTGAAAAGGTTTGATTTGAAAAAGCTTTTTTTTGAAAAAGTCAAGAGCTTTTTGGCTTGAAAAAGCTCATAAAAATAGTATAGAATTGTATATTAAAATGTTGACTTTACGTTATCTTGGTCAACTTCTCTGATAATATCTTCTACAAGAAAATCAGTCATGTTATGATCTGCACAAGCTTGTTGAAGCTCATCAACTGTTATATAACCACTTCCATCTTTATCAAAATACTGAAAAGCTGCAACAAGATGCTCCTCTCTTTCAAGTTTGTTTAAATGAATTGTAGCAGCTACAAATTCACCATAATCTATTGTCCCACTGTTGTCCACGTCAGCCTGAAAAACCACATGACAGGTCAGCACAAACACCACACAACTTGACACGTGTACAACTTTTAAACTTTTAACTCAAATAGTCCATGATTTACCGCATCCATAAGGTCACGAATCTCTGTATCCTTTAAAGTAGAACCGAATTTCCTTAATCCAGCTTTGAGTTCATCAAATGTAATTGCACCACTGTTATCAGTATCCATTGCTTTGAACATTTCTCTCAATCCTGCAATCTCCTCTTCTGATAGGCTTTCAGCTATAACCTAAACACATTCAAGATTCAAGATTCAAGATTCAAGATTCAAGATTCAAGAATCAAGATTACTTTTTTATAAATCAAATGATATGAGAAAATCAGAAAATCAAATCTTTTTATTCAAAAGTCAAACATGTTCTTACACGTAAAGCCATCTTCTTCAACTTATTCATTGCAGAGAACTGCTTCAAACGAGAAAGAACAGCTGGATCCAATGCTCTATCAGGAGCAACACCATTTTCACAAATCCAAGGATGACCTATATGCAAAATAATTCATACTAAACTTTTCAATAACATAATCTTTAAGATATCAAAATTAGTTTTACAAAGTCAACATACAAAGAACTTCATGAGCAGTTAGGCGATTTGAAGGCCTAGAACATAACATCTTCCTAATAAGATCTTTTGCACTATCAGATATAACTGGCCATGGGTCTGAATCAAAGTCTATATCTCCCTTCAAAACAGCATCAAATATCCCTTGTTGTGTTTCTACAAAAGTCAAAGTCAAAGTCAACATTCCTGATAATAAAATCCATAACTAGTGCTTATTGCTTATAACAAATACCAGCCCAAAATGGAGGCACTCCACTCAGTAGTATGTAAAGTATCACTCCAGCTGTCCATACATCTGCTTCTGGACCATAATGCTTCAAAAGCACCTCAGGAGCAACATAGTATGGACTTCCTACTACATCTGTAAAGATTTGACCTAAAAAAAAATCATAATAAGCTATAAAGATTTAGGCATTTTACAAGTTTCAGGTTATATATTGCTATAGAATATTATAATATACCTGGTTTGAAGAAAACTGAGAGACCAAAATCGATTGCTTTGAGTGAAAAATCATCATCTCTGTTAACCAATAAGAAATTTTCAGGCTTCAAGTCTCTATGCATAACACCAAGTGAGTGACAAGCTTCAACAACACCAACGATAATCTTTGTCAATTCAGCAGCTTTTCTCTCACTATAATGTCCCCTTTGAATGATCCTATCAAACAATTCTCCACCATTACAAAGCTCCATGACGATATGAACATACAAAGGATCTTCATATGCACCCTTAATCGTGACAATATTCTTGTGTCCTGCTAAATGGTGCATTATCTGAATCTCTCTCCTAACATCTTCCAAATCCTCTTTTGAAATCAGCTTCCTTTTGGAAATCGATTTACAAGCGTAATCTATCCCTGTTGCGATTTCAGTGCATAAATAGGTAGTACCGAATTGACCTTGACCTAGCTTTTGACCCAATGTGTAGACGTCGCGAATGTTATCGGTTTTATGGCCAAGAACATAGTAAGCTTGGTTGGAGGTTCCATGGCGACTCATGGTGATGGTGGTGTCTTTTTTGGGAAGAGGGAGGGGTTTCGGAGTGGGTTCTTTTGAAAATTCTTGAGATATGAGGTTTTGGTTGATCAAGGTGGTGGGTGAGTAATCTAAAGAGTTGTTAGATAAAGCAGAAGAAGGGTTTTGAGTAGCGATTGAATGATCTTCGGGCTTATTAAAGCCTTGTGTGTGTTTTGTTCCTAAAGATCCACGGCATGTATTGCCCATAAAGCGATCAACTTCTTCTCATCAAATTTGCTGCATAAAGAGGTATCAAGTTGTACAAATTAGACATGTAACACCTCAAGAAAAGTTTCGTCTTTTTTCTTAATAAAAAGATCTGCCAACAGATCGGAGAAGTAATCTTGAGTTCATCGTAAATAGATTGTTGATTAAACAAGAAAAAACCCATCTGAGCGAACTTGCTGAAAATCAACAGAAAGACTTCAAATTTGTTGATTTTTGGCAAAACCCAGATGAGAAACTATAAAAATGGACAGAAAGATTTCAATTTGTTGATTTCAGGAAGAACCCAGATGAGAAACTATTAAAATGGACAGAAAGACTTCGACTTTGCTGATTTTAGGCAAAACTTATACAAGAAAAAAAATTAAATGACGAGAAAGACTTAAAAATAGATGAGAACAACCAGAAGAAATCGATGAAATCAAGTACGGAGTTGCAAGTAATAAGATTAGAAGAGGTATAGATCTAGTAAAGTACCAGAAGGATGAATAAAACGGCGATCAGGTTGACGAAGAAGACTAAAGATGATGATTAGTGGATGAACAGCTAGCATGGGTGTTGACAAGTTTAAATTTATGAAAAGTAGGAAACTCCAGTGTTGTTGCCAAGAAGGAACGGAGGAGGTGGTGGAAGATGGGTGCTGACCAGCTTACTGCTCACCAATCTCCCTGTAAACTTCCTCTATCCACAATAATATTACACATGACTACCTCAAACTATCCATTAAATCCCCATAAACCCTGCAGAAACACTAAAACAAAAAATATAACCGGCTAAACATTCCACATGTTATTTTACAATGGGAAATTGACATTGTAACATAGCCAAGTTTAGTGTTTGTCTCAGATTGGTAACTAATGTTTTTTTTTCGCACATTTAGCATGTTATTTTACAATGGGAAGTTGACATTGTAGCATAGCCAAATTTGGTGTTTGTCTCAGATTAGTCACTATTTTTTTTCACAATTAGGCATTAAAGTAAAATGTTATTACCTTTTAGATAAGGGTATGAGCGATATATTAACCAATGTACATGTTAGAAGCTAACGTGGATTGACTTACGTGGACCCAAAATGCAACGTGATTGACACGGTGACATAGCTTCCCTAAATGAAGCCCTAATTCAAACCATATGCGTAATGTTCTTACCTAATATTAGGTCAGGTTGTTCCCGACAAGAAACTCTTTATCTCGATCGATAAAAGGGGAAACTAATGTCTTCCTTGTTTGCTCAGACTCGAAA